CCTCCTCCTCCTCCTCAGGGTCCCGCTCCTTCTTCACCTTCACGTCTCCGGCCAGGATGGTCGCTATCTCCCCTGCATGAAGGCCCAGGGCACGTTGGAGCCGACCAGGGCACTTTCCCCGCTGGGGCAGTACACCTCCCCGGAGGCCCCCTGGGCCTTGATGCTCTCTCTGGAGCAGGGGAAGCAGAACTTGTGTCCGGGGACGGCGGACACTGAACGAAGTGCGTGTCCTCTAAGCGTTCGTGGCAGATGGTGCAGCACAGCGGCCCGCTGTTGGCCATGGGGGAGTCGGGCACGTTCTGCGCGTGCGCCTGGTCCATGCCACCGGCGGACTGCGACGCGGCGGAGAGTCCGAGGTCTCCGTTGCGGGACGAGAGGCGCCTCTGCCCGGACGCGGAGGCGGGCGACACCGGGCTGCCGGCGTTGTGTCTGGAGGAGGTGGTGGAGTGGACCGAGTCCCTGTCCTTGTTGGGGGAGTGCGCGTTCGCGAGCGTGTCCGCCACGGACATGAGCGCGGCCATCGGGGACTGTCCGTTCTGCGGAGGAGCGCAGGAGTCCGGGGGGTGGCGCGGCCGGAGGGGGGGCCGGAGTGTCCCGGACCGAGAGGAGGCGGCGGCCCGGTGAAGGAGCTCGCCGCCATGGAGAGTTTGAGGGCTTCGGTCTGGCTGTTGATCCACTGCTGCCTCTGCTGCTCCTCCGTCAGCTTCAGGTCCGCAGAGTCCGGCTCCGGGGAGGCTTTCCTCTTCCTCACGCCGGCCCTGGAGCTGCTGCCCCCGCTGCCTGAAGCCAGAGCCCGGCCCGGGAGCACCAGGGAGGTGGGCAGCAGCGGGAAGCTGCCGTCGACGTGGGGCTGCGGCAGCATGTCCCCCCCCACCCCCTCCTTAAAGAAGCGCAGGGACTCCGGTAACAGGTCCCCCAGCAGGCGCCAGTCCCCGGAGCCGTGCTTCTTCTCGTACTCCAGGTACTTGAACCCGGAGGACAGCCCTCTGCCGAAGTCCTTCATGCAGTCCTGGTACATCTGCTTGGCCACCCCCGAGGCGCTGGAGAACACGTTCCCGGAGCCGCTCGGGTACTCGATGAAGATCTTCAGCTCGTGCTCCATCCCGGGTTTGGACACGGCGTCGAAGGCGAACACCCGGCCCACCAGCCCGTGGTCCTTCTTGAAGCGGACGTCGAACGGGGTGGATCCGGACAGAGAGACCAGCGTGTCCCTCACCGTCTTCGGCTTGCTCGCCCACTCGTCCTGCCGGTTCCGGAGACTCTCGCTCAGCTCGGCCAGAACCTCCACGTTCCGCTGCTTCTCTTTCAGCTCCCGCTCCTGGTCCGTGCTGGACACCGAGGCGGGCCGCTTCCCTCGGGATCTGACAGCCCCCCCTGTCCGGGCAGGGAGACACCGAGAGGGTTGGTTCTGCTCGCCAACAGGGTCTGAGGCAGCAGGTTCGGAGGTACATTCATCTGTCCCGGTGCCGACACCAGCCCGCCGTGGATCCTGTTCCTCGAGTTCGGGCTCTGTCGGTTCAGCTCGGGCGGTCCGTCGTCCGGTTTGAACCCGTTCGGTCCGGCCAGTCCGTTGGGCAGCCTGCTGCTGCTGTGCCCGCTGTAGTCAAACCGAGCCCGGCTGTCTGCACCGAGCGAGTACCGGTCCAAACCGGGCTGCTGGGACTTCCCCGGTCCGTCCGCCTGGTGCTGGTGGTGGTTCAGCTGCCCCATCGGCTCCTTCCCGGTCATTAAAGCCGCCTGGCTCTTCGCCACGGCGGGCTGCGGAGGTGGAGGCGGTCCGCCGGCGGGAGACCGGGCCTCCTGGAAGCTGTGAGCCCGCTTCAGGTGGCGGGCTGTCTCGATGACGAACTCGATCCGGTCCGCGCCCTCGTAGTTGACGCAGCCGCGGCACACAGGCTCGGTGAAGTCCCAGATCATGGCCCAGGGCATGCGGGGCAGGGCACAGATAACACGACTGTCTGCGGGACGAGGAGACCTGCGGGGCGGACATCATGCCCGGATCCGTCCCTGCTGCTCCGGGAGCCGCGAGCAGAAAGAACCGGAGAGACAGACTGCAGACTCCGGTTATTGTTCCTGCTGGAGCTCCGTGTGCTGCAGAGGGGGGGGGCTGCGTTTCCCCCTCAAGCAGACAGCCGCTGAGGAATTTGGTTTCCCCCCCCCCCCCCTCAGGAATGCCACCTGGTAGAGTAAGTGACGTCACATTATGACGTCACAGCTGCAGGAGAGAAACAAACTGATGTGTGATCAGTTTCCAATCAGTCGTTTCCTGTGCAGCATGACGTCACAGCCAGGAACAAAGGCTCCTCAGCAAACAGGAGCCGGTCCAGGAGCCGGTCCAGGAGCCGGTCCAGGAGCCAGTCCAGGAGCCGGTCCAGGAGCCGGTCCACAAACAGAACACATGACTCACATCAGTCACAGTATTGATCTGATATCTGTCACTGATCCACGTGGAATCAGCTGATCATCCTGTTGCTTTCTCTCTGCATCTCTTCTTCACTCATCAGCTGCAGCTGGTGTGAGTGTTGCTAGGCAGCTTTCTCTCTCTCTCTGTGTGGAGCGAGCCTCGGTCGCCCGGCTCAGGACTCTTTGTGTCCTCACTGCGCTGGACAGAAAGGCGAGGAACGCCTGAGACTGATCCATCAGCCGATCGACAGGAAATAAGTCTGCAGCCGTTTTAAAGATCAGCTCCGCCGCAATGATGTCATGCTTCTGTTTGACACACACACACTGTCCAGGCAGGGTTAACTGGCACCACGCCACCCTGATGCATTCTGGGAACAATATGAAACCCAAGTTATCAAACCTCGAGCGAGTCGGCTGCTTGGCTCAGCGCCACACACGCACAGATCAGCGCCCCTGTGCCTCTGATGGAGACTGCGATGAGACTGTTGCCGTGGTAACGCGCCTGGTAACCGTTCTGTGAGGAGGAAAGCTGCAGCCTCGTTTACTGGCTCGTTACCAGCTGAGGGACCGGACTCGTGGTTTAGGGTGATAACGGGGACCAGATGAGCTCTGCAGGTTCTGCAGCTCTGTGTGACTGAAGCGAGGTGTTATTTCCGCTTCCTGTTTCCTGTCGCGGTCAGTTTGTGATCAACAGGAAACCTGCTCCTGAGATATTAACGAAAACTGAGAGCAAGCAGAGAACTACGACTCCCAGGGTGCACTTCACCACCAAACAGCCAGTCACAGAGCTTCACATTAAGGCCAGATTTTACATCTGCACATTTCATGAATTCAGCCCTGGCGCCGTGTTCCCATCACGCTGCGCCACCAGCTGACCTCAGCAGCGCTGTGACACGCACGCCGCCGGCCGCCTCCCTTCCCGCGCCTCCTTCGGTGCTGTGGTTTGTTTGTGTGTGTAACTGTCACGCTCAAACGCCCACTCCCCCCTCACCTCACCTGGTTTGCTGGGCAGTTGTCATAGCAACTGGGTACGTCTCCTCGTGGCGGCGGCTGTGGTTGCCGAGGAGCTTTGCTGCTGGTTGCTAAGGACATCTGCTGATGGAGAGAGAAAGCAGAGTCAGATCAGCAACACCTGGACAGATGACTACAAACACATCACTTAGAGGTGAAGGGGTTAAAGGTCAAAGGTCACAGTTCTGTAGGTCAATCCGCTCTGATGTGTTCAGGGGCCCCTTTGAAACTAGAGCCACTTCCTCTGGTCAGAGTCGCCCGAGCGTTTAAATAATCAATCCAATAAAAATAGAGTCAAATAATAAACACAGCGGCCGACCTTCAGATGACCTTCAGGAAGCAGGAAGTGACACGTTTATCAAACATCAACCGGCTCAGTTATTGATTTCTGTTCTTTAAAAGTTAAATCTGACGTTCACCAACACAGACGCTGTGAAGAGAATCCAAACTTTAGATCGACCATCAGAGAGAACGTGATCAGACTGTTGATCGCTTACTGATCAATAAGATTAATAAACAGCTGATCGAAAGGATCACTTATTAATTACTGTCAGTCCAGCAGGCTTTATTACCTGCTACCTCTCTGCTGATTGGCTGCTGATGGCGCTCAGCGTGGCGGACCCTGCGCCGTGTCTACAACCTCCTTAAAGTCTTGAAATGATTGGTTCATGTGGACCGCTCCAGAGTCCGCTATGGGAAGCAGCCCGACCCGTCTCAAGCGGTCTTGGTATGGTTGTGCGGTCCACAGATCCGGTGTGAGAGCACCCTTAAACTCCCGCTGGATCAGGTGGACCCGGTCCAGGGGACAGTAAGACTCCCAGGTGTCCACAGAGACAGGAAGCAGCACCTGTATCAGGTTCTGTAAAGTGAACTGATGAGTCATCAGGTCCACACCTCTCTCTGTGAAGGCCTGATCCTGCTGCCACCTGCTGGTCACAGCGCCTCATCGCCTCTGAGGTCTGTGATGAGGCGCTTTACTGGAACGCAGTTCCGTCTTTAGAAACATATCCCGGTTAGTTTTTACCCAAACATGATCCTGAACACGAAGCTCCCGTCATCGACGTGCGGACAGAGAGCCTCTAAGCTCCGCGGTCCTTCCTCATAACACAGAGACTCTGGACATGAAGGCAGCGGTCAGGCTGCAGTCTTCAATAACTGGACAGAGTAAACCATATTCTTTGGAAATGGACCTCAAGAATGGCTGAAAAAAGATTTAATGACCAGTAAATGTCTCTCTCAGGAAAGCCCAACACCGACCGGACTTTATCTTCATGACCCAGTAAGTGTTCTGGATTAAAAAGATCTCCCCCCGTCTCTACAGAGATGTTCGTTTTGGTTTGTTTCCTCTGTGTTTCTATCCGTTCTTCTGACAACAATATGAATAACAGGTTTTGGATTACATTGTACAGAAACACGAGACCGCTGCTGAACACCAATAAAATAAGAATTACAATAAATAAATAAAAAGTGATCAGTGATCCGTCCTGGCGTTTTAGCAGGCTGGAGATGACGGGACTGTCTGAGTGAGGATGACTGTGGTGCAGCTCAAACACAGTGTTGCATTATTTGCTGCTGACGGTCTGAATGAGCCAGATTGTATTAATGTAACAGACGTCAGTTTGAACAATCAGTGACAGGCTGACCTGCTGGGTGGGACCGTGGCGATCGCAGGTCTGACCTGCTGGGTGGGACCGTGGCGATCGCAGGTCTGACCTGCTGGGTGGGACCGTGGCGATCGCAGGTCTGACCTGCTGGGTGGGACCGTGGCGATCGCAGGTCTGACCTGCTGGGTGGGACCGTGGCGATCGCAGGTCTGACCTGCTGGATTCATGTTTTCACCTTCATTTATTATAATATATTTATATTTAGTCCCGCCAGGTTCCCGCTTAAATCCAGCCTTCCTGTTTAAACTGACTGGAGGAGAATTCTTCTCTTTGTCATTCATTAAGGAAACTCTGGCTCCCCCGGTCCCCCTGACCCGGTCCCTCTGACCCGGTCCCTCTGACCCGGTCCCTCTGACCCGTCCCCCTCCAAAGGACTTCTTCCAGCTGCCCTGGACTTTAACCTTCGTTGGAAAGTCACAAAGTGTGTGTTTACCTGCAGCGTCCAGGTGAGTGACCTGCAGACGGGGCGGCTGACCTGAAGCCGTGAGGTCAGAGGTCGCAGGCGCCACAGGGGCGTGGCCCGCCGCTATCCTGAGGGCCGACTCCAGCAGCTGGCTCTGATTGGAGGAGAGGAGAGCCAATGAGCAGTCAGCGAGCAGAGCCAGGTGTGCAGCAGCTGAGCAGGTGAGTGTTTACCTGCAGCTGCAGCTGTTGGCTGTGCAGCGTCTCCAGGTGATGCAGCGTCTGCTGACTCAGGCTCCGCCCCCTGTCCCCGCCCTCCCTAACGACAGAGCAGACAGTGATGTCACAGTGATGTCACAGTGTGTGGTGTTCTTGTGTCTCTGTGAGGATCAGTGTGTTTCTTTTCTTCTCACACAGAAAATAACTCAAGTGAACTAAAACGCATCAGTAAAGTCAGGTGGGGACATCCTGCCCTCTCATTGGTCAGATCGGGCAGGAGAGTCAACACAGGAAGTCCTGAAGAAGGTCCCGGCCAGACTCTTCTGTCCGGTCTGCTTGAGTTATTCTCTGTGTCCAGCTCGGACCACAGATACAGATACAGGTAGCTGGAGAGGTGCAAGTTCCCCTCCTGGGCACTGCCGAAGGAGGCCCCCCAGCCTCCAGGGGTCCTTGAGGGGTTTCCAGGGGAACCATTTCTTTTCACCTCAGTAACAGAAAGACAGAACGTCATGGTTTCCTGTCAGACGGCCTAATGTGTGCCAGTTCAGGGGTCGTTGATGTGAAACAGTTTGAGGACCACTTCCTCTGTTCCAGGACCAGTACAGATCTGGATTTCCACGTGTTCTCAGGTCAGAGCTGCACCTCGCAGACAGAACACAGACTCAGTCCAGTTAGAACGGCTTCATGAAACTAAGCTCTAAAACTAAATGAGAAAAAGACAGAAGTTTAATTATCTGGCAGCCAAACCCAACTGAGGACTTAGTGAAATCTCAGGGCCTCTGAGGGCCCCCCTCTGCTAGGAAGGTACTGCAGGGGTCATCTCTGACTCATTCTGCTGTTTCCATCTGAGGACAGAACTGGAATCCTCGTCAGGACGTCGGCTCAGACTGAATACTGTTTGTAGTCTGGCAGCTGTCACTCATCATCAGGTCTGCAGCTTGTTCAGGATGCAGCTGATTGGTTGTTGACTGGTACCAGGAGGAGGGACCACGTCTCCCAGATGCTGGCCTCTCTTCACCGGATCACAGAGTCCAGATCGAGGTGCAGATTTTAAATCCTTACATGTTCTGGCTCCGTCTTTACTCTCTGCTCTAACGTCTGATCGCTCTTCCCTCAGATCATCAAACCTTCAATCGTCTCAGATGAAAACAGAAGGCGATCGTATCGTTCAGCGGCCCCGAGGCGTCCCTTAGTCATCAGATCGTCCCCTTAAAAGTCTCGTCTTCAATCGCATTTGGTGTTTGAGTCTGTTTGTTGAACTTCTATCTTTTGTTGTGTCATGAATTAATTAGCCTGTCTGTTTTTTTATTTATTACTTTATTAAACTCTGTTTGTTTTAAATGGTGCTTTATGAAGAAAGTTGACTATTAAACCCATCAGGCTGCGGCCTCACTGCTCTGCCTGGCCTGCAGCGCCCCCCGGTGGGCAGCTGTGTTCCTGCACCTGTTTTACACACTTGACGACATGTTTACCTGCCAGCCTGCAGCAGCTCCTGCACACCTGCAGCCAGGTGAGACACACGAGCCTCCATCTCTGACTGAGCCTGCACACACACACACACACACACACACACACACACACACACACACACACACAACACAAAGACACACACACACACACACACACACACACAGACACACACAGACACACACAGACACAGACACACAGACACACACACACCACACAGACACAACACACACAGACACACACACACACAGACACACACACACACAGACACACAGACACACACACACGACACACACACAGACACACACACACACACACACACACAGACACACAGACACAAAGACACACACACACACACACACACACAGACACACACACACACACACACACACACACACACACGACACAGACACAGACACACACACACAGACAGACACACACAGACACACACACACAGACACACACAGACACACACACACGACACACACACACACAGACAGACCACAACAGACACACACACACAGACACACACAGACAGACACACAGACAGACACACAGACACACACACACAGACAGACACACACAGACACAGACAGACACACACACAGACACACAGACAGACACACAGACACACACACACACAGACAGACACACACAGACACAGACAGACACACACAGACAGACACACAGACAGACACACAGACACACACAGACAGACCACAGACACACAGACACAGACACAGACAGACAGACACACAGAGACAGACACACACACACAGACAGAACACACAGACAGACACACAGACAGACACACAGACACACACAGACAGACACACAGACACACACACACACAGACACAGACAGACACACAGACAGACACACAGACACACCACACACACACAGACACACACAGACAGACACACACAGACACACACACAGACACACAGACAGACACACAGACACACACACAGACATACACACACACACAGACACACACACAGACAGACACACAGACATACAGACACACACACACAGACAGACACACACAGACATACAGACACACACACACAGACACACACACACACAGACACACACACACACACACAGACACACACACACAGACACACAGCACACACACACAGACACACACAGACCACACACAGACACACAGACACACACACACAGCACACACACACAGAGGGGAAGAACAGACTAAATCACTGCGTTCTGTCAGAGTCACAGATTCAGTGTTTTTCTATCAGCTGGTGACACAGAGAGCAGCAGAGTCAGTACTGCAGTAACCAGTACCCTGTCAGTACCCTGTCAGTACCCTGTCAGTACCCTGTCAGTACTGCAGTAACCAGTACCCTGTCAGTACCCTGTCAGTACTGCAGTAACCAGTACCCTGTCAGTACCCTGTCAGTACCCTGTCAGTACTGCAGTAACCAGTACTGCAGTAACCAGTACCCTGTCAGTACCCTGTCAGTACCCTGTCAGTACTGCAGTAACCAGTACTGCAGTAACCAGTACCCTGTCAGTACCCTGTCAGTACTGCAGTAACCAGTACTGCAGTAACCAGTACCCTGTCAGTACTGCAGTAACCAGTACCCTGTCAGTACCCTGTCAGTACTGCAGTAACCAGTACCCTGTCAGTACCCTGTCAGTACTGCAGTAACCAGTACCCTGTCATTACCCTGTCAGTACTGCAGTAACCAGTACTGCAGTAACCAGTACCCTGTCAGTACCCTGTCAGTACTGCAGTAACCAGTACTGCAGTAACCAGTACCCTGTCAGTACCCTGTCAGTACTGCAGTAACCAGTACCCTGTCAGTACCCTGTCAGTAACCAGTACTGCAGTAGCCAGTACCCTGTCAGTACCCTGTCAGTACTGCAGTAACCAGTACTGCAGTAACCAGTACCCTGTCAGTACCCTGTCAGTACTGCAGTAACCAGTACTGCAGTAACCAGTACCCTGTCAGTACTCTGTCAGTACCCTGTCAGTACTGCAGTAACCAGTACCCTGTCAGTACCCTGTCAGTACTGCAGTAACCAGTACTGCAGTAACCAGTACCCTGTCAGTAACCAGTACTGCAGTAGCCAGTACCCTGTCAGTACTGCAGTAACCAGTACTCTGTCAGTACCCTGTCAGTACCCTGTCAGTGCCCTGTCAGTGCCCTGTCAGTACCCTGTCAGTGCCCTGTCAGTGCCCTGTCAGTACTGCAGTAACCAGTACCCTGTCAGTACCCTGTCAGTACTGCAGTAACCAGTACCCTGTCAGTACCCTGTCAGTACCCTGTCAGTAACCAGTACTGCAGTAACCAGTACCCTGTCAGTACTCTGTCAGTACCCTGTCAGTACTGCAGTAACCAGTACCCTGTCAGTACTCTGTCAGTACCCTGTCAGTACTGCAGTAACCAGTACCCTGTCATTACCCTGTCAGTACTGCAGTAACCAGTACTGCAGTAACCAGTACCCTGTCAGTACTCTGTCAGTACTGCAGTAACCAGTACTGCAGTAACCAGTACCCTGTCAGTACCCTGTCAGTAACCAGTACTGCAGTAGCCAGTACCCTGTCAGTACTGCAGTAACCAGTACTCTGTCAGTACCCTGTCAGTACTGCAGTAACCAGTACTGCAGTAACCAGTACCCTGTCAGTACCCTGTCAGTACTGCAGTAACCAGTACCCTGTCAGTACTCTGTCAGTACTCTGTCAGTGCCCTGTCAGTGCCCTGTCAGTACTGCAGTAACCAGTACCCTGTCAGTACCCTGTCAGTACTGCAGTAACCAGTACTCTGTCAGTACCCTGTCAGTACTCTGTCAGTACTCTGTCAGGGCCCTGTCAGTACTGCAGTAACCAGTACCCTGTCAGTACCCTGTCAGTACTGCAGTAACCAGTACCCTGTCAGTACCCTGTCAGTACTGCAGTAACCAGTACTCTGTCAGTACTGCAGTAACCAGTACCCTGTCAGTACCCTGTCAGTAACCAGTACTGCAGTAACCAGTACCCTGTCAGTACTCTGTCAGTACCCTGTCAGTACTGCAGTAACCAGTACCCTGTCAGTACTCTGTCAGTACCATGTCAGTACTGCAGTAGGCAGTACCCTGTCAGTACCCTGTCAGTACTGCAGTAACCAGTACTGCAGTAACCAGTACCCTGTCAGTACCCTGTCAGTACCCTGTCAGTACTGCAGTAACCAGTACTGCAGTAACCAGTACCCTGTCAGTACTCTGTCAGTACCCTGTCAGTACTGCAGTAACTCCTGTTCCAGATATACCTTGATGAGAGGAGCAGCAGCGGTTACAGCTGCAGCTGCAGCAGCTGCTGCGGCGTTGGTGGCGTCTCCAGGGCAACCAGAGGACGGCCCCACCTGCGTCTGGACATCCGTCACACCCAGTGCATCCTGGGAGCTGGGCGTGGGACCTGAAGCATCCTGAGAGCTGGTCCGGAGCGGCCCCGGGTCCAACAGCTGCACTCTGACCTCCCTCCTGTGGGGGGCGCTGTGAGAGCTGAGCAGCAGAGAGAACATGACAGCAGGTGAACACGCGGGCAGTGAAGGCGCCGCACGAGGCGTTCAGGTGCTCCGTGTTAAAGTAGCAGCAGCTCAGTGACGCTCTGTGAAGCTTCAGGATCAATAAACAAAGTTAAACGATGGATCAGACCGCTCTCTATTAGAGAAAAGACATTTAGGGAAAAGACTTTTCCCTAAATGTCAGACAGGAAGCTGTTCTCACCGTTGTTTCAGAGCGGCGAGCACGACTCCTCGACCTCCTGCAGCAAAGCGTGACGTCAGAAGGTCGTGACCTGAGGGCGATGATGTAAGCGAGGGGGGGTCAGACTTTAGTTTCAGAAAATGATTTAACGTCAGTTTCTAAAACTAATCAAGTCAATACGAATCAGTAACAACCACATATTTAATCTGAGTGATGTCACTGGCCCGCCGCTGTGTCTGTCCGACAGTGACGGATTATTGAGGGATTATTGAGCTCTCACCAGGCTGCCGGTCGCTCGGTGCTCCAGCCGAGAGCTTCCTGTCTGGGCTCCACTCGGCTGCAGGAGGCTGCTGGAGGAGAAAACAGAAAGAGTCAAACCCTCAGGACTACCTTTATTCTGCCGCTGCTCAACGTCATCAAACTGCGTGTGATGCTGCAGGTCAGGTGCCACCGAGTCCACACGTCAAGGTAAAGAAGAAGAAGACTCACTCTTCCTGCGGGCGCTCTGTTCTCTTTGGTCGGTCCAGCAGGTCCAGCAGGTCCAGCAGGTCCAGCAGGTCCCGGGTTCTTCAGTGTCCGTGTGTCTGCAAACATTTTACCATTTGTTTAAGTCCACTTCAAAGAAATATCCAAGGGACACAAATATTAAAAGGTGCAGTCAAATAAAACCCAGCGGGACTGATGGAGCAGCAGCTACATATAAATATCTAAATACTGTTATGGGCTTAGATATTTGTAGATACTCGTGCTGACATACACATAAATATAGAATATCAGTTTGAGTCACCACACCTGTATCTCAGGTCACCTGTGGCTCAGGTCACCTGTGGCTCAGGTCACCTGTGGTTCAGGTCACCTGTATCTCAGGTCACCTGTATCTCAGGTCACCTGTAACTCAGGTCACCTGTAACTCAGGTCACCTGTAACTCAGGTCACCTGTGGCTCAGGTCACCTGTAACTCAGGTCACCTGTGGCTCAGGTCACCTGTAACTCAGGTCACCTGTAACTCAGGTCACCTGTAACTCAGGTCACCTGTGGCTCAGGTCACCTGTAACTCAGGTCACCTGTATCTCAGGTCACCTGTAACTCAGGTCACCTGTAGCTCAGGTCACCTGTGGCTCAGGTCACCTGTAACTCAGGTCACCTGTAACTCAGGTCACCTGTATCTCAGGTCACCTGTAACTCAGGTCACCTGTAACTCAGGTCACCTGTGGCTCAGGTCACCTGTGGCTCAGGTCACCTGTATCTCAGGTCACCTGTAACTCAGGTCACCTGTAGCTCAGGTCACCTGTGGCTCAGGTCACCTGTAACTCAGGTCACCTGTAACTCAGGTCACCTGTATCTCAGGTCACCTGTAACTCAGGTCACCTGTAACTCAGGTCACCTGTAACTCAGGTCACCTGTGGCTCAGGTCACCTGTAACTCAGGTCACCTGTGGCTCAGGTCACCTGTAACTCAGGTCACCTGTATCTCAGGTCACCTGTAACTCAGGTCACCTGTAACTCAGGTCACCTGTGGCTCAGGTCACCTGTGGCTCAGGTCACCTGTGGCTCAGGTCACCTGTGGCTCAGGTCACCTGTAGCTCAGGTCACCTGTGGCTCAGGTCACCTGTATCTCAGGTCACCTGAGGCTCAGGTCACCTGAAGCTCAGGTCACCTGAGGCTCAGGTCACCTGTGGCTCAGGTCACCTGTAACTCAGGTCACCTGTGGCTCAGGTCACCTGTAACTCAGGTCACCTGTGGCTCAGGTCACCTGTGGCTCAGGTCACCTGTAACTCAGGTCACCTGTGGCTCAGGTCACCTGTGGCTCAGGTCACCTGTGGCTCAGGTCACCTGTGGCTCAGGTCACCTGTATCTCAGGTCACCTGTAACTCAGGTCACCTGTGGCTCAGGTCACCTGTGGCTCAGGTCACCTGTATCTCAGGTCACCTGTGGCTCAGGTCACCTGTATCTCAGGTCACCTGTAACTCAGGTCACCTGTGGCTCAGGTCACCTGTGGCTCAGGTCACCTGTGGCTCAGGTCACCTGTAACTCAGGTCACCTGTGGCTCAGGTCACCTGTGGCTCAGGTCACCTGTATCTCAGGTCACCTGTAACTCAGGTCACCTGTGGCTCAGGTCACCTGTGGCTCAGGTCACCTGTATCTCAGGTCACCTGTGGCTCAGGTCACCTGTAACTCAGGTCACCTGTGGCTCAGGTCACCTGTAGCTCAGGTCACCTGTGGCTCAGGTCACCTGTAGCTCAGGTCACCTGTAGCTCAGGTCACCTGTGGCTCAGGTCACCTGTAGCTCAGGTCACCTGTGGCTCAGGTCACCTGTGGCTCAGGTCACCTGTATCTCAGGTCACGTGTAGCTCAGGTCACCTGTATCTCAGGTCACCTGTGGCTCAGGTCACCTGTGGCTCAGGTCACCTGTGGCTCAGGTCACCTGTGGCTCAGGTCACCTGTGGCTCAGGTCACCTGTGGCTCAGGTCACCTGTAGCTCAGGTCACCTGTGGCTCAGTCTCAGGTCACCTGTAGCTCAGGTCACCTGTAGCTCAGTCTCAGGTCACCTGTAGCTCAGTCTCAGGTCACCTGTGGCTCAGGTCACCTGTAGCTCAGGTCACCTGTAGCTCAGTCTCAGGTCACCTGTAGCTCAGGTCACCTGTAGCTCAGTCTCAGGTCACCTGTAGCTCAGTCTCAGGTCACCTGTAGCTCAGGTCACCTGTAGCTCAGTCTCAGGTCACCTGTAGCTCAGGTCACCTGTAGCTCAGTCTCAGGTCACCTGTAGCTCAGGTCACCTGTAGCTCAGTCTCAGGTCACCTGTAGCTCAGGTCACCTGTAGCTCAGGTCACCTGTATCTCAGGTCACCTGTGGCTCAGGTCACCTGTGGCTCAGGTCACCTGTGGCTCAGGTCACCTGTGGCTCAGGTCACCTGTAGCTCAGGTCACCTGTGGCTCAGGTCACCTGTATCTCAGGTCACCTGTGGCTCAGGTCACCTGTAGCTCAGGTCACCTGTAGCTCAGGTCACCTGTGGCTCAGGTCACCTGTAGCTCAGGTCACCTGTGGCTCAGGTCACCTGTAGCTCAGGTCACCTGTGGCTCAGGTCACCTGTGGCTCAGGTCACCTGTGGCTCAGGTCACCTGTATCTCAGGTCACCTGTGGCTCAGGTCACCTGTAGCTCAGGTCACCTGTGGCTCAGGTCACCTGTATCTCAGGTCACCTGTAGCTCAGGTCACCTGTGGCTCAGGTCACCTGTATCTCAGGTCACCTGTGGCTCAGGTCACCTGTGGCTCAGGTCACCTGTGGCTCAGGTCACCTGTGGCTCAGGTCACCTGTAGCTCAGGTCACCTGTAGCTCAGGTCACCTGTATCTCAGGTCACCTGTGGCTCAGGTCACCTGTGGCTCAGGTCACCTGTGGCTCAGGTCACCTGTGGCTCAGGTCACCTGTATCTCAGGTCACCTGTGGCTCAGGTCACCTGTAGCTCAGGTCACCTGTGGCTCAGGTCACCTGTGGCTCAGGTCACCTGTATCTCAGGTCACCTGTGGCTCAGGTCACCTGTATCTCAGGTCACCTGTAGCTCAGGTCACCTGTAGCTCAGGTCACCTGTAGCTCAGGTCACCTGTGGCTCAGGTCACCTGTATCTCAGGTCACCTGTGGCTCAGGTCACCTGTGGCTCAGGTCACCTGTAGCTCAGGTCACCTGTGGCTCAGGTCACCTGTGGCTCAGGTCACCTGTGGCTCAGGTCACCTGTAGCTCAGGTCACCTGTGGCTCAGGTCACCTGTGGCTCAGGTCACCTGTATCTCAGGTCACCTGTAGCTCAGGTCACCTGTGGCTCAGGTCACCTGTGGCTCAGGTCACCTGTGGCTCAGGTCACCTGTAGCTCAGGTCACCTGTGGCTCAGGTCACCTGTGGCTCAGGTCACCTGTGGCTCAGGTCACCTGTAGCTCAGGTCACCTGTGGCTCAGGTCACCTACCGGAGCTCTTACCGGGCTCAGGGCGCGCTGCTGCCCGCAGACGGAGCCCCTTGTCCGGCTTGTGTCGGGGCTTCGGCTGTTGCGTCTCTGTCCCGGAGCTCTGCGGCCTCTGTTCGGCCACAGGACGCTGGTTCGGAGGTTCCGGCAGCTTCTGGACGGTTATCTGGACCGATCCGGGTCCTGGTCCGGCTTCAGGTCTCCGACCCGAAAGGAGAGCCCGAGTGGAGCGGATTAAAACGTCCCCGGTGTCCGAGCTGCAGGAGGACTGATCCGGACTGGGTTCAGCGGATGAACCCGGCGGCCTGTCGGACCCGGATCCCGGCTGAGGCCGCATTCTGGCGGTTCTGTTGATCCGGTTCTGATAAAGTCCTTTTATTGACTGTTAGCTAGCTGTTAGCCGCGTGCTAAGCTCAGCTGGTTTAAACTTCCCGCTCCTGCTTCATCCGGGTCCTCGGACGGACCGTTCAACCCTCAGAGTCCCTGAAGAAACTGAAGTTCACCGAGTTTAAAACCGGATCAGGACAGAAGCCAGACCCGAACTCACAGGGACACAAACTAACAGCGTTAAACACACAACAGCAACTGTTGCTGACAACAAAACTACACTTCCGGCTTCCGCCTCCGAGCGGAGATGCTAAAGACGGCAGGAGGTCTCACTCCGACCCGGAACTCAGAGCGAGGTTCAGAGAAACTACATTTACTGAATCACCTACACAAGATATGATGTTTAGTTATAAATTACACTCCAACAGTTTAAACAGCTGAACTACAGTCATTTCTTTGGCAACAACTTTGATGGTTTTAGAGATTTTTCTCCTCTGAATGATTTTAATATCTGTGATGTTTATTAGTAACGTTGATCTTTGGACTGCTGGTTCTGAAGGAGACTCTTTGGGCTCTGCAGAATCTGTACAAACCACTGATCCAGGACCATCAGCTGCAGTCTGAGTTCAGAATGAGCAACATCCTGCTGCACTTTTGTTTTTTTTCAGCCTTTATTTGAGATTGCAATGTTTACAAAAGTATAAAAATATTTGCAACATAGCGGACATCAGAAGACCATTCCGGTTCAATAACTGATCTACCAACACAACATTCCATGAAGAGAGATGTGTTTATATAAATGTCCGCCTGACAGACATTTTAACAGGTCAGAACAACCTCATGCCACCAGCTTTGATAACACATGAAGAAGTCAAACATTCCTAATGGAGGTTTCTATATAATCGTTTCAGCCAATTTAATTTAAAGGTATAAAAATCCCGAAAGTTAAACGTCTCCTGCAAGAAAATCTGTAATACACATCACTTTACTGCTTTAATACTCACATAGGATACTTTTACTTAAGTAACACTGTCAATGTGGTACTTTTACTTGTAACAGAGTACTTTTACAGTGTGGTATTAGTACTTTTACTAAAGTAAAGGGTCTGAATACTTCGTCCACCACTGGTGAAACTAAGAAAGGAGGAACACACACGAGGTTCAAGGTTTGAATCAGTTTACGTTAAACTGTATTTGGGTTTTAAGACACCAACAGTATGAAGACTGTTTCAAGTACAATTTAAAATGGTTGCACAGCTGCTCCCACTGGACAACTAACAGAGGTCTCAGTTAATCAAAATATCACTCAGACTACGAACGACGAAGCTGGCTGCCCTGCTGATGCAGCAGCGGACAGGAAGTTCTTCTGAATTCACAAACAGGCGAACTGGAGTCGAGACTTCTGGAAGAACAGGAGCATCAAGTCAGGGCTGCATTTTCACATGGCACAGGTGTGGATGCTGGAACAGTCCACACTTTTCAATATTATGAGAAATGATATATTTGAAGAGTTTTGGAAAGTTTCTATTGAGAAAAGATGCAGGAAGCTGAACAAGGCTGGGATGAAAGGTGGAGAAGTCAAAGTACATAATATCTGCTAATAAGAAAACTGAATGTGGGGGTTTCTTTTTGGATGAACAAGCAACTGACTGTTCAACGTTTGGTTTTGGCTGTTTGAGTTGTATTTTGTGTGTTTTTCTAGCTGCCTCTGTTTCTCTCGGTCCTTACTGGTTTATGTCTTTGATCTTTAGCTCTTAGTCCTGCGTTTCAGTCCTGTGCCGTTAGTTTTAGTTTTTACTTCTAGTTCCTTGTCTGGATTATTTGAGTTTAGTCTGCTCTGCGTCTGTTAGGATCCCTGAGGTATAGTTGGTCGTGTTTGTCTGTTTACGTGGGGTTCTGTTATTGTCTGAAGTTACTTTCTTGTCTGCTATTTTGAAACTGTCTGTTCCCCCAGGTGTCCCTCTGCCTGCCTCGTTACGTTGACCCCAGTCTCCCGTGTAGCTCCCGCCCCGCTCGTTACCCCCGGGTACAAATGTTTCTGTAGATTGGCTGTGCGGTCACTGTTCGTGTTCCCCGGTCTCTTCAGTGTCGTCTTACTATTTCCAGCTCGTCTTCCTGACAGTCTCTTGGTGTTTTGGATTTTTGTTTCGTTACTCATTTGGATTTTTCTGGACTCAGTCTGTAAGTGTGCTCGCGTTTTGTTTGTAAAATAAAGCTCTTTTTAACTTTACCTCCAACCTGCTCGACCCACACTGCCGTCACAGAGAGGGTGAAAGAGTTGTGCGCTTCGATGAGCAGATAAATCATGTAGACAACTAATGATCTGGTTGGTTGTTATGTGTCAGCAGCTGAAACACATTTAAAAAGGTTGGAAGTGATGCAGGCTGAGGCCCTGACACCGTGTCGTGGGGCCCTTCATCCAACTCCAGTCCCGGCTTCACTGGTAGAGACACCATATCAGTTCGACGGGAGAAACCGGCGTCAGGCAAAAGGAGGAAGGAACGTTTGATGTTTAACATCAGTAAAAAGGAGGAGCTGGGACTGAGGGAGGCGGGGGGCCCGCAGGGTACTGGTCAGTCGTACCTCCGTGGATGCTGCCCATGCCAGAATGTGATGGCCAACATAAAACATCATGAACGCGCTGACTGAAGTCCC